TGCGAAAGTTGGCGAACTCGACGTCACCGACGCTGGAGATCACGCGAAACGGCGACGAATTCGTGTTCAAAACCGTCTCAACGGTCAAGACCTCGACGATGACCTTCACTTTGGGCAAAGAGTTCGAAGAGGAGCGTCTAGACGGCAAGAAAGTCAAGTCCGTCATCACCGTCGAGGGCAACAAACTCATACAGACGCAGAAGGACGGCGACAAAGAAGTCACTTACGTCCGCGAGTTCTCCGGCGACACTCTCACCGCCGTAAGTGAACAGACCTCCCGTTCCCCTGCCCTTCCCACCTCTGAAGACACACTTCAAACCCGTTATCTCTTTGATAAGAAGTAAATGTCACTAAAAATAAGGATTTCTTTCTCTCTTTCGTAGACTTCGACCGCAAATAACGTCACTTCAGTCCGAGTCTACAAACGCGTCGATTAATCGCTTTTTAGTCTCTATTTAATGTTTTTTGTACGACTTTTATAGCATTTTATTTCAATTCTTAATAAATATTAATTGTTTTTGAATTTATTGATTAATGGATTATTGATTTTGTAATTAAAAATATGTGTAATTAATGATTGTCTGAGAAAAACATCACGAATGCAATTAAGTGTCAAAAATACGTATCGATTGTTATTAATAGTCATTAATGAGAGTAAAAGTCGTTTAAAAATAACTTATTTTACATAAAAAGTCTTCAGAAATACCAAAATTAATGTCTTTTTAAGTCACGATTATTTGGCCATAAATTGTGTCGACTTTTGTGAGCAATAATTGAGAGAAAAAAGTATCGATTTTTGCGAAACGGTTTATGAATTGATTTCAATGAATGTATAAAACTTTTGGCACTTTTTTCCTAAACTTAATTACAATTAAAAACTATATCCAAAACAGTCGTTCCCCTAATAGCTGCCGTTCCCGTCACACGGGCTGCACTTTGAGCGTCTCCTCTTCGGGCGAACTCACGGCCACTCCTTTGCCGCCATTCGTTGTCTGCAACTGTCGTCTCAGTTGTCGCTCTCGTCGGCGGCGGTAAAAGCGGACGCCGCAGAACACGCCCACCGCTATGAGGGCCACGCCTACCAACACGATGGTCACAATGAGCCACACGGGGAAGCGACACTTGTCTGAGCCGTCCGGGTAGTCCTTACACGTCACGTCCAGATTCTTCATAAAGGTGTACGGGAGGCGCGACACCTGTTCGGCCTGTTTGGCGTCACATTTGTCTTTCGCAAACTTCACCCAACAGTCCCGCAGTTTCCACGTCCCGCAGCACTTCACCCGACGCGCCCACTCGCTGTTCTCGTCCACGCCCTCCAAATACGCCCTTCCCTTCTCCTCCGCCTTCTGGTTACAGTACGCGAAGTCCTCGTGGATCAGTGCGAAGCAACTGGCCTGTGGGGGGAAAGGTGTGTCGTTAGTGATCGGAAGGAACGGTAGGTTTGAGCGAAAAGTCGGCGAAAACTGAATATTCAGTGAATTAACGGAAAACTAAAGCAAATCTCAAAGTCTTTGAATTCACGGAAAGTGTGTCTAAAAGTCGACGAAAACTACATTTCGTTTTAATACAAAGAATTCAATGAAAAGCGAAAGTATTTTCGCGAATATTTGGCCGTTTTTTCGCTCAAACTTGCGGTCAATACATACGAGACTCGAATATTGGGCCAACTTTTCAAAGGAGAACAGTTCCGACACTTTGGGCACGTCTTGGGCGCAAACGGTCGCCAAAAGGGCGACAAAAGCGGCGAAAATGTGCTCAAAATTCATGATAAAAACGGTATAAAAATAGTCGCCTTTTTTGTACTCAACGTTTCATTCATTCATTTTCACACAAAAGTGAAACACATTTCTCTTCAACTTTGCTCTCAATTCGTCGCTTATCTCGAGTTTGAGTTATCGCTAAAAAAGTACTGAATTTATGAAAGATAT